GGTACAAGGACGCGGCGCCGATTGTGGCGCACGAGCTCGCGGCCGCGGCTGCGCGCGAGGCGATGGGAGAGCCGCCGCCGCAGCCCATCGAGGCGGCGGCCGAGGCGGCGGCCGAGGCGGCGGCCGAGGCGGCGGGGCTGAGGCACGCGGGCATTCGACCGGAGGAGCGGCTGGAAGGAGGCGCCGCCGTTGCCCCGGCGTCTCGGAGGAGCGCCGCGGCGAGCTGCTCTGTAGGCTGAGGACGACGAGATTGCCCTCGAGGAGAATGAGGAGCGGAGCGAGGAGCTGCGGCTCGAGGAGAACACCGAGCTCGCGGAGGGGCAGGCGGAGGGAGTCGACGAGTCGGAGGACTCGCTGCAGCTCGAGGAGAACATGGAGGGGCTCGAGGGAGGCCCGCCGGCTGTGTTAGTCTGAATGGGAGAGAGAACGCGGGGCGCGGCGCGCGGCCCGCCGCGCACGCGTTTCAGCACTGCGCCTACCCTCACCTCGGGTAGACCGTTCACACCTCGCCCCGCGTAATATCCTGATTAGTTAATTGTTCCCGCGTGTTCGTACGTCCTTTCGTAACTTTTTCATCGATCGGTCATATGGAGCAAGAGACGTAGACATCGCGCACTCGCAGCCCACCGCGCCACCGCGCCGTCGGGCGCCGCCCTCGGTCTCCGAGGGAGCCCAGCTACACCGTCTGGTCTTGCGCATGGTAGCGGCCTACGGTCCGATCCGGCCTCCTTTGAGTCGCCTCATCAGCGCAGTGCGCTCAACCACAGCTTTCTGCGCAGTATATGAGATGGTGCTCTCAGCACTAACCCGCTTCAACAGCCCGTCACACGTCGCTGCTCGAATTCGCGCGAGTGGCTCCCAGTTCGAGTTTGCCTCTTCGCGGAGCGAACGCGAGCAGCGATGCGATGCGATGCGATGCGATGCGATTCGATTTGATGCAGCATGCAACAATGCGCTAAATCTTTTGCCACAAGAACCCCAACGCGCCATCCACCACCCGCCAACGCGCTGGACTTGGCACCAACCGCCAACAGCGTGGCCTTGGCACCTCCTATCAACTCTCGAGCCCAACCCGACATGGATTTTGCCTAAACGGCAACACACCCCAGCCCCTAACCCCAGCCCCTAACCCCAGCCCCTGACCACCCCTAACCCCAGCCCCTAACCCCAGCAAACACTACCCCCCGCGGACGGCCCGTGGTTAACACGCCGAACCCTACCCCCCGCGAACGGCTCGTGAACCTCGCCGAACCCTACCCCCCGCGAACGGCTCGTGAACCTCGCCGAACCCTACCCCCCGCGAACGGCTCGTGGTTAACACGCCGAACCCTACCCCCCGCGAACGGCTCGTGGTCAACTCGCCGAACCCTTCTCACATGGCAATGGCGGCTCTGCGAGCTCGCGACTCGCCCGCCGCCATTGGGGGGGATGCGCCTACCCTCACCTCGGGTAGACCGTTCAGACCTCGCCCCGCGTAATATCCTGATTAGTTAATTGTTCCCGCGTGTTCGTACGTCCTTTCGTAACTTTATCATCGATC